CTATTCAAATAAAACAAAAAAAAAATGAATAACCAACTGCAATTATAGTCCTTCAATTTTTAAATTACAAAGAAATCATAAATTTTCCACCACCACCACTTTCACAACCTACCAAGGTACGGCCTATAGATCCACATAACACCACCTTTCGGCCACCACGCCCATTGGACTCCACCACCAGTAACCTTGCTTCACTCCCCCAACACAAATTTGAAGATTGGAACACTTATGAACCCGGTTAGACAGCTCTCTCCGTGCATCCCGCCCGTGGAGAGTTTTGGACTAAAAATTGAAACGACTGGGGGGATTATAGGTTCAATTAGATTCATACACATTGTCGTTTGGGTTTTTTGTTGGTTCGATTGATGCCAATTTAGGGATTTAGTGTTGTGGGATGCATGAATTGAAGGAGAAAAGTTTGACAAAATGGACGTCGTCACTGTTGAATGTCTAGATTACAGTATAATGATTTGAGGCAGGTTTGATTGATGTGAGGCATGTATAGGTTCGTCGAGGTGAGGGGTAACCGTCGGTGGTGGTGCGCGACCGTGGTTGGCTCCAAAAGTGAGGTTGCCATGAAGGATTATATATGGCAGTTTGGTAATTTAGGTTGCAAATGTGGCTGTTTTCGACGGATTTTGTGACCAATACTGTGGGAGAGCATGTTGGAGAGAGTGAAGCAAGGCTAGTGGAGGTGGAGTCTGGTGGGTGTGATGGCCAGAAGGTGGTGCTATGTGGATCTATAGGTGGTGGCTTGGTGGGTGCCACGCATTTTCTACAATGTGAATTTATACTGTAAGTGTACGGTGTCAAGTTTTGTAATATAATGATTGAGTTAAGAGTGTCGAACCCACAGGGACTGTAATTCAATTTCTACCAAGTACTATAATTGTAAACTTCTATTTTATTTAGACAAATGATGAATGGTTGAATGATTGTTTTAAACTTATCAAAGGTAATATGCGACGACAAAATTGTAGAATATAAAATTATCAAAATGAGAAAGTCTAGGGAATGATTTCACCAACTTTCAATTATGATTCAATGACATCAAATTATTCCAATTAATTTTCCCATACTTAAAAAGCAAGAATCCAATTGTATTTCTCTCCCATATCTCGAGTGCCGGCTAGAAATTAATCCTAGAATTCAATCTCAACATCTCTATTCCGAATTAAAGCCTAGAATTGATCAAAGTCCCGATTCTTTTGTGGAGTAAGATTCATAGATTTTACACTTTCTC